CTAACGCGCTTGCTCATCACTTTCTTTTGATGCCAAAGGTTTTACCAGAATTGCACGCATGGACAAAAAACATCGAAATGGAAAATCAATGAAAAAACGTGATGCGATGTCACGCAAAAAATACATAAAAAACTGCTCATTTGGGGAAGAGGTTTTTTATTTGAAAATATTCCTTCTTCAGGAGATTTGTAAGAGTTCTCCTTAGTCTGTCAGCAGCAAGACTCTTTTCTGTATTGATACGCACAGTAGTAAATTCTAACCTGAGCGAGTGCGAGTGATAGTTAATATAGCTCAGCTGACACGGTGCAGCAGGTCTGGAAGTGCTGTGTTGTTGTGATGTTGGCTTTCGGAGCAGCGACGCTTGAACTGCCACCTGCGGTACGCGTCAGGATGGGATTTGAATCTCTTTGCATACGGTGTCAGTCTGCGTCTGTGGCCTTGATTTTCTGCCCCGGGGTCTCGGGTGTAGTCAGTCTGCAGCCTTTACCGTTCACGACCACGCTCTGGAGTGTGCGACTCTCACACCGAACCCCGAGGTCTCCGCCCCTGTCCCTTCCTCGCCGCCGGCGGGGGGGGCCCGGGTGAGCTCAGGAGATGCAGGCGCGGACCCCCGCCTGCGGCCCGCCTGCCGTGCTCCAGCTCGGGGACGGGATGCTTTGCACTTTTCCTGTAGCTGAGGGGAAAAGTTCAGGCATCGCGGTCTTTCTGTCCCAGAAGCGCTGGGCCTCCGGGGGGGGGCGACTGGCCAGTCACAGCGACCCCCCCACTCTGTCTCCAGCACCACTGTGCTTGAAACACAGCTCCTTCACTCCATCTGCTGCTGCTGCTGTCACCCTGACGGAAACCAAGCTCCTGTCCTGCAGGGGTTTAGTGGCCGAGCTGGACGGGCCGAATCTGTTACTTCAGGTGCTTGATCAGAAGTTCAGAGGGAGCACTGAAGTAGTTCTTGCATGATCATTATTACAGCAGTGTATCTTTTCTGTCCTGCAGCTGAAGGGTCTTTCCCTGGTTTGTTAGTGTTTCAGTGAGGGGAGGCTCGTAATTCTTCTTCTTCTTGGCTCATGCAGGCTCTAGTTTACGACGCTGCGTGGGGGACCCCCCCACCCCCCACCCTTCCCACGGGGTGTCACGAAGAGCTGCTATGCGAAAGAGAGCTCTTCTTCCTGCACGGCTTGCAGGCTGGTGGACAGTCGTGCTGTATTGACGAATAGGTCAACTAGCCAATCAAAGATTAACTAAAATGGCTTTTGTGTCAAAATTGAGCTTTGGTTAACGTTCTGTGAAGCCTATGTGGCTGTATTATGGGTTTCAGAGCCCTCTTCTCCTTTTGGGGTATTGCTGCTCACACAGAATACCCTGGGCTGCGGATATGGACTCCTGGACTCAGCAGAGAAAATACGAACAGCTGGGTGTGATCTTTCAGTCCCTTCCTAAGAGTGCCTGTCCAGTCAGCCTGCAGGCCAGCGGGCTGCCAGTGTGTGTTTTTCTCTGTTTGATTGCTGTGTCCCTGGTAACCAGAAAAAACACTTTCCCAGACGTTTCCTATACTCGGGAGCAGGGACGCCACCTCCACAGTGTATCACACAGTGAGAAGCCATTTACAGATAAGAAAACATGTTGTACGGGATCACAAGCAATCTTTGGAAAAAAACCAACCTTTGTTTTGAATTTTGTCGTTTGCCCTGAGCAAAAGGTCCGCTCTGTCATTCCAAGATCTGCGCCCGGTCTCTGTTCTGTATGTGACAGAAGAGGTCCCAGATAAGTGTGGCGTAGTTCCCCAGAGCAGATGTGGACAACTGTGAGAATGACGCGGAGAGGGGTGTCTGTCCAGTCGAGCACTGTGCCACACCCCACTGTGGAGCAAAGCTTTTTCCGCTCTCAGTTCTTGTATGAAGGAACATCCTCAGTTCGTCTTTTACTTCGTATCTGGAACCTTTGTTCTCATGTCACTAGAAGCCTTTTTTGGCAGATAACGTATTGCAGACAGTAATGAGGGCAGTAAAAGTTCTGTCACAAGTGTGGCAAGTGCACTAATAAACTCCTCAGTAACACCAGTTTTAATGTAGGAGTCAATTGAGGCTGTGTATCTGGCAGACTGTAACTGCCATAAACTGTGAACTAATCTGGAGGCTGCTAATCGGCAAATGATTCATTGGTTTATTTTTTCTTGTGTATGTTGTGTTTGTTCAAAACCTACACCCAAAACCTTCGCCTTTGCACTGGATTTTTTTTAAGTTGTCAACCAGCCTCGTGGAGTTTTGGCTTGCTCCGGAGGATAATTAAAATGGCTTCACACACTTTCCCTGAACTGGTTTCAGTTTGTTTTCCAAGTACTTTATTTTTACTGAACTTGCAAAGCAGTTTGGAATGCGTAATCTTCAGACAACTCATTGAGAAAATCTGTAATGTGCCAGGATTGTACTCTCCCGGGCTCAGCTGCTTGTTTAGTAGTAGCAGTATGAAGAAGAAATTTGCATTTATTTTGGCTGCTTCTTCCCAGAGGGTCCCAAAGCTTAACCTATTGGACAGGACTTGCTTTATCCACCCCTAAGTGCAGCCCCACCTGGGCGACACACAGGGGCCATTCTGCACCAGCAGCCCCACCTGGGCGACACACAGGGGCCATTCTGCACCAGCAGCCCCACCTGGGCGACACACAGGGGTCATTCTGCACCAGCAGCCCCAGCTGGGAGACACACAGGGGTCATTCTGCACCAGCAGCCCCACCTGGAAGACACACAGGGGCCATTCTGCACCAGACTGTTCAAGCTACTAGTTAAAATGTGTTTCTTGATTTTAGTGAACCAGTACAGAAACAATCCCATTGACCATATATGGAACCTACTGTATATTCACTGAGAACAGATTTCACAAACCACTAAAAATGGGCTCAGTACATTTGTTTCAGACTTTTGGAAATAATAATGGATTTGGGCTGGTAAATGATGTAACTACAAATTCGTCAAATATTACTGTCCAGCTGTAAATGATGCCGTGTTCATCTGTGAAGTAGGACAGTACAGGGATGCTGTGCTCTTAGAGGTGTCTTTCTGGGCGACGTGCTGTAAATTGATGCAGTCTCACCTGTTGCCCACACTTCCTCGTACTCTTTTTCTCATTCAAGCAGGTGGTCCTGACCTTTGTTCAGGCTGGTTTCTCAGGTTCTCACACTTAATCAAACACTTCACTCTTTTAAGTGCAGAGCAGAAGCTGCGCTAAATCGAATAATCACACATGTTTTTTCGGGCGAGCTTTTTGGCAATCGGCTTCTGATTTTTTCCGTGTTCCTGGGGCTGATGTACTTCTGAGCACCAGCCACTGCTGTGCTGTTCGTCCGGACTGAGGTCTGGGGCTGAAACTAGAGAACTGGGATGGTTGGGATCCATTATTCCAGATCCCAACGATCCTGGCCACAAACTGCTCTCCCCCCTGCCCTCTGGCAAGCGGTATCCCACTGTTAAAGCACAGACCACTGGACTTAAGGGCAGCGTCTATCCCACTGCGGTGTGCATCCTCAACAGCTAACTACAGTGCTTTGATACTCATCTGCACTATGAACTTTTTACATAGTCAACCATTTTTTTCTTTTGATCTCACTACCACATATATATTATTATATTGTTGTATGAATATATAATAAATATTTTTTCCGTAACATATTTATTGTTCCTGTTGTCTACATTGTGCAGTGTTGTCTGTAGCACTGTTTGTGTCCCGGTGCGATGAAGAATTCCAGCGTACGTGTACACGTGGCAATAACCTACTGTACTGGTCCTCTACTAGAAGAGAGCTTGCCTGCCCCTCGGGCCTGCAGCATGGCGAGGGGTGGTGTTCAAGGCTCAGGCCGGGGACGAGTAGCCCTGCCCCCACCTGTCTGCAGAGCCCCCCCTGTCGGGGTCAGTGACTGCCGCGGCAGGTCCTGCCTGCCACTGGGAAGCTCTGGGGCATTTCGGCGTCTGGTCCTGGCCGTTGGCTTCTCTCTTCCTCCGAGTTCATGGCACAAACTCAGCTTTAGGAAAGGCCAGCAGGAAAGTTTCAGTCTACACTGCAGGAGCCACAATGATTTTGATGTGAAGTACTGTAGCCTCAGACCAGAGGACTGAAATACAGGAGGTACAGTTTGCGAGAGAAGGTTCTGATTGTGTTTCAGGTTCCCCTGGTTGTCTGGTGTTCCTGGCTGCGTGCTTTCACTGCGCCAAAGTGAAGGCAGTCCAGCAGGGTTGGATGCTATGAGAGAAGTGTGCTCTTCTATTGACGGTGGTTATTGCCCAGCTGCAGAATCCTGCTATTAATTACTGTATAAGGTTTATGGCGGCCAGGGGAAATAGCACCCCATTTTCTGAAACCGGTTGTGTCAGTTTAAAGAAGCACAGTAGCAAGAGGCAATGATTTTCTGTTGCTTTTGAGTTAAAGTGGAGCAAATTCTGAACTTGGGAGACTGGTAATTGTTGTAATGGAAACTTCTGGGAAGTGCAATTCAAAACTGAAAACAGGAGACACTTATATACCCAGACAGAGAAGGGAGAACCGGAGACACTTCTGTACTCGGATAGTGATGGGAGAACAGGAGACACTTCTGTACTCGGATAGTGATGGGAGAACAGGAGACGCTTCTGTACTCGGATAGTGAT